TACATACATATATATATATATAGTACACCAAAAAAACCACACCAGACTCGGATGCCAATATGTATGATATCGCGACGCGGAATGCTCTTTGATGCTGTAATCCGCAATTCCACTGCAATTCCACTGAATCCAGAGTGCATGCTGTGATATCATAACACTGTGTTTCCAGACTTCCATATTGGCAACTCAAAAATTCCAGAATTCCAGATTTGCGGAGGCTAACTCTTCCAGCATTGCAGATTTTCCAATCTGGAATAGCAGATCGGACACTCTGGAATTCAGGAATTATTAACCTTTGCTAGTCTGGAAATCTGGAATTATTCACCTCGCTAATCTGGAATTCTGGAATTATTGTGTCTTGCATGACGAAGCAGACGGGCATAGTGCGAGAAAAAGTGTGAGCGACCTTACTGTGTATGCACATGCGATCGTGTGACAGCAGAAAATGTGTTGGAGCTCTTACAAAGAAAACTTGCATACGTCACAGCACCATGATGGTCGCAGCATCTTGGTTCAAGACTTGTTTCGTAGCAAACAGTAGTGTAGTTTCACTCATAAGCGAAATGGATGCAGACAACATTTGCTTCAACGAGAAGAAGGAGGCCACCAATCAGATGGAATTGCGTGAGTTACAAGAACATGTGGCTGTGGGACCAATGCCACGAGGAGCCATCAGTGTAACGAACCTGCCTATCTGCGAGTGACTTGTGATAGAATAAGTAATCTTGTTGGCCAGTCGTTGAAAAAACTTCTTCATATTCAATTGCATTTCTCCATTTGCGTTTGCTTCTGCAAACACTTCCTTGCGACACTTTCTTGACATCATCCACGATGTACCCAAGGGGGATATCGACACCGACGAGTTGAGAGGCATCTTCAGGGACAAAGCATGGGTTGATTTACCTCTTGCTATCAAAATGAATGGACATCCCAACTTTGATTACAAATCCCAGCTCTTCACACTCAGCCAGAATAATGGCAAGCTCACGATGGTGAATTTCTTAACCAAGATAAAACTTACACAAGCAAAATTGACGTCGTTTGCGGTTGGCGCATGCTATCAGATCGTGTGGGGTTCCGGCAACAAGGTGCTGGAGCGCAAGGCCTTTCAACGGATGTTGCAACAGATGGGCGGTTTGCAGTTCCGACAGGTTTCCTTGACAGGTGAAAGGAAGCGATCTGCTTCCTCAGCGGCCTTGGGAACCTGCACCGAGGCAGATCAAGATGCCAGCTGGGACTACATCATAGAGCATGAAGTGAGTGATTGGGGTCAGCTCAAACAGTTGAGATGGATTCACAAGCACATCAACCAGGAGGGCAGCCCCATCAGAGGATGGCCCGAAAAACTCGTGCCGAAAGCATTGGATTCATTAGCTAATGACGGCTGCCTTGCAAAGCTCACCAGACGGTATGACTTGACCATTCAGGACTTTCACCCAACCTTCTTGGAGAACATCTTTAAGGATGCGGCCCCTTATCACAGTCTTTGGTTGCTTGGCGAGCCTGGTGTGGGGAAGACACCACTGGCACGTGTCACGGCTATGATGTTCAGTCGGTATCACGGCGGCGGGAGGCAATTCCGCTTCGCAGAAGACTTCGATTTCTTCAGGGGCATCTTCTTCAGCAAAACTACACCGGCCTTATACGACGACGGAGATATTTCTGGTGCAATAAAAGCGAAAAGACTTTTTGCGACGTTGGCAACATTGAAGGGGTCTCGTAGGAGCGATGGAACACCGTTAAGTTCGCGCAGGGCCAGCTCCGCATCATCATCGACAACACCTGTGCCGCACATGGAGTTATCGCACCCGAAACGTCGATACTCTCACATGGTCTCACGCGATGATTTCATCAAGATGATACTCCCAGCGATTGGGTGTATCTCACATGTTAACTCCAGAGCCATTCTGAAAAGGCGTGTGTTCATGGTCTTTACCAAGGACAGCATTTATTATCGTCCTTTCCCGGAACGACGAATGGACATGCGTCGTCACAAATGGGCTTTGCAGGCTACGTTTCTTCTCAGGAGCAGTGCTTTCAGCAGCGCGTTTGGTCCTAACAAGTTCATCGGGTTGTCGCCCCCATCTTCTTGCACCGGCGTCTTCTCCCGCTAAGCCATCTTCGGCATGTCATATGAAGCCCAATCCTGATTTCGATCTTCCCGGCTCACCTATGGATGTCATTACTGATGAGGAAGATATCTTCGGACACGGCTTCAGGGAGGACTAGTCATTTCACTGGTATCAACAAGCACACCGCGAACATGTGAGGAACCCGATTTTGAGAACTGTGTGCAAGCATCCCTATATTACAGAATAGTTCGTACATGCGTTTCGTGTGTTACTTGTGGCGATAGTGTATCATCGCTGACAATAACATGCGTATATTTCCTTTTCAATTAACAGTATAAGCCAGATGCACAGTTCTGTGGTTCCTGCTTAGTTTACAAAGCTCTGCTCAACGCTCTGAAAAAGAGAGTGACTCGTATGTTCTTTGTAATATACGCTTGAATTGTTTGCACCGCAGCATGCACATGAAGTCAGCATCTTCTGTGAGTCGACATCCATGCCTTTCATATATGTGAGTTTTCAAGCACCTTCGTATCTGATAGCGTAGTAGACCTCCGGGGCATTCCAAGATGGCCAAAGAAGTCCCATATCCCATTGTTCCCAAGACAGGTAAACTTCGCTCTGTACAGAAACGCCCTGCGACCAAGAAGACCAAAGCATGGTAGGCGGTGCAGTGTGTCCGTGATAACATCGATGTTGGCCCTCGTGGTGTACGCAAAAGAGCAAGTCAAACGGAAACGTAATCTTCTCCAGCTTCTCATAGCCTCCGAAAAGCATATCGACAAGAGGCTGGTGGCCGACCGTGTGCTTCCGAATTGGAAGAACAAGGTCTGTCCGAGATGCGAAACAGGACGCCTATCCGAACTCAAGCTCCATAGCCCCCGCGGCCATAACAAGCATCGTTGCTCCTCCCGCGCATGCCATGTCTGGATCAGCCCACACCATCTGCATCCTCATGACGGGCACAGAACAGGAGCACTGAGCTTGCAAATGCAGAGCAATCTCCCGTCGATGTAGTTTTTGCGGGTTCTTCTTCCCTCCATTCATCTTCTTCTGGATATCAACCAAAAAGCCATCGAGGACATGGAAAAGCGTCTTTGAGAAAATTGTTTTTGGAGATGGCAAGAATTGGCAAGATGTTGAAGCTGAAATTTGGAAGTGCATTGATATCTATATGCGTAAAAATTGTGTCGTTTACTTAGCATTTCACATCATAATCTTCGCAATAATCCAGTTTTGGCAGCATCATGCAATGCATGTTTGATAACCTATGGTTTTTGATTATACAAAGTGGTCTCATAACCGTATCGTTTTGACGAATATCTCCTCTGGTCTTTACAGTATTGAATCATTCAATAAGACGAAGAAAATTAAAACAACTATTTCGTGACATTTGATAGCCATAGGATGAAACGACCTTCGATATGTGCGACATCCCTAACGAGCTCGATTTCAAGCATCCCATGAAGAATAAGAAATTATGTGGGAGCAATGGGCTGGTTGTATTCAGAGAGGGCATCCGCAATCGCTGGTGTTGCAAAGGCTTACTCCCCAGGAGCTATTCGTCGCGTGGAGTGGAAACAGATCGGTACGAAACTGTTGAAGGATCGTAACGTTGTGTTAGACACGGATTCAGCAAAGTACCGGGAGTCATTCATGATCGCGTGGCCCATTGCCGCAAACGCGTTAAGAAGAACAGGAAATACACATGGATGCATCCGAAGTACGTTTCCCTTTTGAAGCACACCCTGCCCAAGAGCAAGAAGATGCTCTCCGTGAAATCGGGCACCCAAGTGATTGACAGATGCTGGAATTTTTGAAAGATCGTATCCAGATCAATCAACACAGCAAGGCAGGCTCGCGTTTGCATACGGCGAAGCTCAGAGCAGCGCAATACCAAGATTTGTACCGCAACACGGACTTATGGGTCAACTGCGGTGAGTTGTGTCATGAGACAAGTCATGGATAGATGCGATACTGTAGCAAGTTTTGCGTGACCAAGCAGATCCACATAGCCCAAAACAAAGTGTGAGCGACCTTGCTGTGTATGCAGGATTTCAAAGCCATGAAGTTTGATCAAACATCATATGCGTGTTTCCATGTGTGTCGGCTTAAATGCCTGCTCTTCCAATATCTGAGCGATTCCTGCGGCGAGAGAAACATGCCAAGCAAGCACTTCAGTGAGATGTCTTTGGTGCCATGGCATACCCTGATGGGTTGCGTGGTGCCGCTCGATGTCACCTGTCATGGGCGAGTTCATGGACGGCTACTTTGCTATACTGTTTTTCTTCATAGAGAGAACCCTAGAACTGTGACACAGGCCCTGATGAGGATGATGATGTCTTTCTTGGGCCCGTACCGTGTGCACCGACACTCCGGGAACGTTTCATACCTACATTGCCAGATGAACCCTTGCATGCAAGCAGTATGTTCTTGTAGTGATATAATCTTACAAATTTGCAATTTGCTTTGTGTTGCGACTACAAATCTAAGGAAAGCCAGCGGTGCATCTAGGAGAGCTGGTCCTTAAGCTGACGCAGAATAGGGAAACGCGATTGTCCGAAGAAAACATGCTTGCGTTGGCGTGTTGACTCCATGAAACTTCTGCTGCGAGAAGACCTCATGAACAAAACGTGCGACTACATACTTGTATATGCTCATGATGCAGTGGAGCATTGCAGTCTGTGCTTTGCTCACTTAAAAAAAACTTCCGCCGCCCTGGCTTCTGCTCGATTCTTATTTATTAACACATCGTTGTATTTGTTTCTCGTCTGCCAACCATGCGAGATACACGCGCCTTGCTGCTGGGCTTTGAAGGGATTTTCAGGGGTTTCTGTAAATGGGGTCGTATGGAAACATGTAGTAGTATAGAGTGCAATACTTCTCTTCATCAGCGACTTGACTGCATTAATATTTGGGCTCAAGCTAGCCCCTGTTGTCGAGAACGAAACAACTATACTAAATCTTTTCTTTTTATGTAGTGCTTGTTTCCGCCCGCTACAAGAGTTCTCTTTTGTTGCATAGCCGTTGTAGAGTCATTTTGGCTTGGAGCCATGACACACCATGGACGAAGACGTAGCAGGTCTTCCCCGCAGACTTTCTTTTTGAGTGCAGCGACCAAGCTGCCGCCTTACCGGTTCTTGTGGGATGTTTCGATTATCTTCTATGTCTACGGCAAGTCGTTCCGCGGCAACGGGGCACAGAACAACTAGCTACAGGGTGAACTGTTGCGATGTTTAGGACCCGCATAGAGAGAAAGATCTCCATGGACGCGCTGGACTCGCGGCTGAACGCTGGAGCGGACTTACAAGAACATGCAGTGCAAGGACCTACTAGGAGACTTCTTGCGGTGGCCCTGTAGTAGGTGTATGTTGCGTCCGCAGATGACATAGGTGTCCCGCGGTTGCGTGGATCATGTCCTGTATGGTCCAAGGTCTCGGCTGCGGTAGTGTGCATACCGAGTACATAGAGCCGCAGGCCGGTAACTGGTCTCGGCTGTGCACAATTTGCCAATAATGTGCTTGGACCAGTGACGCAAAAACTAGATTTGCAGAACAGGCAGAAGAAGACACACGAGACTTGGTTAGTCTCTCCGGCAGAGTATGCGTCTCACCTGACAACGGCCCTCCGCGGGACATGTGTACAAACGGCCGACCACTGGCTCGAGAGAGGGAGAGAGACTGCTGCGAACTAGTACTTTTAATTTGTCAACATACTATGTGCGCTATCTGGCAACTGAGGCGAGCAGACTGGGAGAAACTCGGGAGTATCTGATTGGCTGCGTAAGGGACCATATCTGAATACTTTGATAGATTATGCATGACTTAAGGAACAGGAACCGCGACAATACTTCCATTAGTTATCCGGTGCAAAGAGTTTTCTTTGTGTCAGAAAACAGGCGTAATGGCTATACTATCCTGTATCCGTACTTACAAGCGAAACACAACGAAGCAATACGTTAGCGGAGTTTCTTGGCTTTCTCATCTTACATGTCGGGATGGCGGGCAGGAGTAAGTTTACACGTATCAAACTTTTTTGCAGCAGTTGCGTGCGGGGACACAGTGTTTGCGGGCAA